TTTCTACATGGATCTTAAACATACAAATCAAATTGTGGTCAAATTATTTGTTTTAAATAAATTTGAGACAAACAAGATGAGCAGTCATGAGAAAGTTTAAAAGATTGAATCATGTGTGGAAGGATACCAGAAAATAGGTTTCAATTAAATTAAATTCAATTTATTTATATAGCGCCAAGTCACAACAGAAGTCATCTCAGGACACTGAACAGAAACATTCATATCTAAAAAACATTACATTAACAGAAACATTCATATACATATATATATATATATAAATAAGTTAACACTATGTATCCGAAGAACTAGATACATATCAAATAATATGATGTTGAAATTACAGGAACAGCTCTAAAATGGTTTAAATCATATCTATCTGATAGATTCCAGTTTGTAAATGTAAATAATAAATCTTCCTCATACACCAAAGTTAGGCATGGAGTTCCTCAGGGCTCAGTGCTTGGGCCAATACTCTTTACTTTATATATGCTTCCATTAGGTAACATTATTAAACAGCATGGCATACATTTTCATTGTTATGCTGATGACACACAGTTATATTTGTCCATTAAACCCAATGAATCCAATCAGCTACCTAGACTACAAGCATGTCTTAAAGACACAAAAACCTGGATGACCCTTAATTTTCTCCTGTTGAACACAGACAAAACTGAGGTTTTGGTTTTTGGACCTGAGCACCTTAGGAATACATTTTTCAGTCTTTCTCCCTCCTTAGATGGAATTAATCTGTCCTCCAGCTCTAATGTTAAAAATCTTGGCAAGATCAGGACATGTCTTTTATCCCCCACATTAAAAATAGTACTAGAACTGCCTTCTTCCACCTGCGTAATATCTCTAAAATTAGAAACATCTAAAAAGGATGCAGAAAAACTGGTCCATGTATTTGTCATGTCTAGACTGGACTATTGAAATGGTTTATTATCTGGGTGTCCAAATACTTCTTTAAAATGTCTTCAGTTGATCCAAAATGCTGCTGCCAGAGTCTTAACCGGAGTTAGTAGGTCAGATCATATCTCTCCCGTTTGTTTCTCTCCATTGGCTCCCTGTCAAATCCAGAATAGAATTCAAAATCTTACTTCTAACCTACAAAGCTCTCAACATTCTTATATTACAGATCTTATTGTTCCATATTTTCCTAACAGAGCACTTGGCTCTCAGGCTACAGGTTTACTTGTAGTTCCTAGAATTTACAAAAACAGAATGGGAGGAAGATCTTTCAGTTATCAGGCTCCTCTCTTGTGGAACCAACTTCCAATCTCTGTCCGTGAGGCTGACACATTATCCAGTTTTAAAACTAGACTCGAGACTTTTCTTTTGCTAAATCCTATAGTTAGGGTCGGCTCGGGTTTCCTGAGCTGTTATGCTGCTATAGGTTTAGACTGCTGGAGGACAAACTGACCACACTTTTCACTCTGCTACTGTCTTTACTTACTCTGCTCAACATTTGTAATTATTTTTTTCTATCCTTAACATGTTTTTTTTTTTTTTTTTTTGTCTTTCAGGTACACCTGCACCTACATCTGGACCTGCTATCCTGCGTTCACCTGTCTTTCCTTCCTGTCCTCTCAAGCCCAGCCGGTCAAAGCAGATGGCCGCTTGTCCTGAGCCTGGTTCTGCTGGAGGTTTCTTCCTTTTAAAAGGGAGTTTTTCCTTTCCACTGTTGCCACTGTGCTTGCTCAGGATGGGAAACTGCAACAAAGCCAAGATTCAACTTGTCTGCTAGCCTCCTTAGATAGAGAACTTTACTAATTGGGGGAGTGGTGGCGCAGAGGTTAGAAGATGGGCCTGTGATCAGAAAGTCATAGGTTCAACTCCCAGTACCGTCAACATCAAAATGTGGGTGGAAAAGGCGAGACACACACATCCCCATCCACCTTCATTTGCCCCACTCTGGGCCCCTGAGCAAGGCCCTTAACCCCCACCATCTGCTTCCTACACAGTTCTCTCTTGAAAATGAGTTCTCGTGGCTCAATGAGGCTACCTGTATAAATAAAGAATAAATGAAAAAAACTAATTGGCTTTTATGTATGTGAATGTTTCTGTAAAGTTCCCTGAGACAACTTTGTTGTGATTTGGTGCTATTAAACTGAATTGAATTGAATTGAAATATTACTTTATAAAAAAACTGAGGGGGCAAAAAGCAAGAACATGGGGGTACAAAATGGAGAGGTGTGAGTGTTGCCATTTTGTTACCTTTATCTCCATCCATCCATCCATCCATCCATCCATCCATCCATCCATCCAGCCATCCATCCATCCATCCATCCATCCATCCATCCATCATCTTCCACTTTGTCAATATTCAGGTCGTGGTGGACAACAGCTTGAGCAGGGATGCTCATACGTTTCTCCCCCCAGCCACCTCTTCCAGCTCTTCTGGGAGGATTCCACGGTGTTTCCAGGCCAACCATTGTGTCCTAGTTTTTCCCCAGGGTCTCCTTCCAGTTGGGCATGGCCAAAAAACCTCCCTATGGTGGTGTCCAGGGGGCATCCTTATCAGATGCCCAAACCACCTCAATTGCTCCTCTCAATGTTTGAGATTCAATGTTCAAGGCTCTTTATTGTCATCTGCATCACATGTGGTACATGAGGTGGAACAAAAGTGTTTACTCAAAGGCCCAGTTACACCCAAAATTAGCAAAAAAATAAAGTATAAAAAGAAACCATATATAAGGATCTGAGATATATCAATGGATATCCCACAGTGCTGGAGAGCAGCAGCTCTACTCCAGCTGCACCAATCTGTTGATCTCACACTCCATTCGTTCATCACTTGTGAACTTTTTTTTAACCAATTGTTGTGAGACACAAACTCTTCCATTTGAGGCAGAACCTCAACCGACTCATTGCCACCAATACCAACCAAAGTCTTTTAGGGACTCAATGGCCTGTAGCAATCCCCAATCCCATACTCACTGAGCACCCCTATGTTCCTTTGGGAACACAGTCAAATGCCTTCTCCTAGTCCACCAAACACATTTAGATTGGATATGCGAACTCCCATGCCCCTAGCGAGGATCCAAGTGAGGGTAAAGAGCTGGTCCAGTGTTCCACAGCCAGGATGGAACGTACATAGTTCCTCCTGAATTTAAGGTTTGACCATCAACCGGGCTCTTTTCTTTAGCACCCCTGAACAGATCTTACAAGGGAGGCTGAGAAGGGTGATCTCCCTGTAAATCTGTAAACCTTTTGTAAATCCAGAGGAGACAGAGCCTTTTCAGCTCCGTCTCCTAAATTGTGGAATGAGCTGCCACTGGAGGTCAGGCAGGCCCCGTCACTTTCTGTTTTTAAAACTCGTTTAAAAACACTTTTTTTTCCCATTGGCTTTTAACCTAGAGTGAGTCAGCATCTGTGTCTTAATGTTGTATTCTTTTACTTGTGATGTTCTGATTATTTTTTTTAATATATATTTAGGTGTCTTTATTGTACCTGAGTCTGAATTTCGTACCATAAACACGCAAATGTGAGCTGGTGTGACAATACAAATTCCTTCAAAATAAGTGGAATCTTATGAACAAAGAGAAACAATTTAATTTAGCTATTTACAAAAGCACTTGTATACAGCTCTTGTGTACTTTGACAAACATCTCTGATTTTGGTTATCTCAAATCTAGTATCAAATCTGGCAGTACGATGGCTTAATGGTCAGCACTGCTAAACATTCCCTGAACCTGTATTTGTATTTTAATTCAAACTACCAGGAACAGATCAGCCGTTAAACATCTTCAACTTTTAATATATTGGAGTCAGTCCAATTGAACATGTTTGTCACAGCTAATTAGCCCTAACAAAAATGACTAGTTTTTTTATTTTTATCTTTTTAATTGTTCTGCAGCTTCTGAGCTACAGTTTTGTGTGGTAGTAGCTGAGAGTCAACACATGTGTAAACATTGTAATAACTAGTTTGGGATTATTATTGGAATAGCAAATCAAAAAAAGTGAAACACTGTAAAAAGAAATACAAAGTTATTTAACCTTTAAAATTCAAATTTGCTTGTATTTTTTATTTTTTTATTTTTTTGTAGTTGGTCAAATAACGTTTTATATTTAAAAAAAAATAATTCCTAGATTATGGTTTTACTTTACAGTGTTTATATAACACAATAAAATTGCTCAGTATGTTGGATGCTCACTTATTAGTAACTTTTGTTGTTGGAGAAAAATATTCTTGCTTTCTTACTTACTCAAAAAGAACCACATCCAATGGCAAGAGAAAATTTATAACCAGTATTTACTTGCAAGGTAAGATTTTCAGGACAGGTTACAGAAATATATACAAAGTACCGGTACACACATGAACACCAGTCATGAGAATCTGTCCTAAGCTGCCTTCTCAGCTTGCTTTTATAACTTTATCAGTTCAGCTGAGTTCACAGAACCTGGAGGTGTCCTTGTCTGCCAGCTGCATGCTGCAGCCTCACCCAGCTCCTCACCCAGCTCTCTCTGCTAACCCAAACATATGATTCATGGGCAGAGTTAAGATTCTCAGACCTAGTAATAAAATCATCCATAACCTTTTGACCAAAAATTCCCTATACAATATGTTTTTTACAGTCATAAAAAGTTGAAAATGCAACGACTTCATAAGCAAAAAAAAAAAAGAAAAAGATGAAAAGATTAAGCAACAATTAAAGTAAAAAATGTATTACATTAAGGCATTCTAATAGAAGACAGGCACAGCACAGCAGTGAAAGTGTAAACTGCAGCAATGAATCATTAATGCATGTAGACAACATGCACATTTGTGACTTTTTTCTATGACAAATACAAAACTTAAACTAGACTTAAAATTAAAGCATTTATATGAACAGTGCAGTCTGTACTCATTCCAGTCAAAAAGCCTTCATGAAATTCTCATTTATATGTTTGCACAACCACGTAACATGACAGCAAGTCCAGAAAAAAGCACATAAATGCACCTTTAAGACAGTAAATTGTGTATTTTTGTTGGACTGTGTGTCTAACATTAAGGCTCAAAGTTATTTTCTTTCAGAAACAACAAATCTAATAATTCTGCTTCGAACTTTGGTGCATTTAAACCCATAAATGAGTGGATTTAACATTGGAGGAATAATCAAAAATTCTATTGCAACAAAGTTTTGAACCGCCTTTGGTATACCTTTTTCAGCAAGTCGAAGATTTACAGAATCAATCAATAACGTCACTACAAAAATGATTAAAGAAACTAAATGTGGGACACAAGTCTGCATGAACTTTGCCCTGTTCTCCATGGATTTGGCACATCTTTTAACAATATATATGTATGACCAAACAATAAAGACACCATGAAATACATAAATAATCATTGTAATATATGCAAATAGTCCATTCATAAAGGTCTCATTTGGAAAACAAGCCAATGCTACGATGCTCCAGTTTACACAGATGAGTCTGTTTATATATGAGCTGCATAACTTCAACCTATAAGTTAGTAAAATATTTACAGTCATAATGCAGACAGGTGTTAACCAAAAAATGCACACGAACTTTATGACTCTCTGCTTTGACATGAGAGTGTGGTACTCAAGCGGTTGACATATAGCCAGGTACCTGTCGTAGGCCATGAATGCAAGGATGGACAGCTCACAGCAGCCATAAGATAATATCACATGAGACTGAAAAAGGCAGCCTGAGTAAGAGATGGAATGAACAGGAGAGAGCAGATCCCACAGAAACTTAGGATAAAAACCTGCTGTTCCATAAAGACCATTCATGCAAAACGCACACAGCAAAATGTACATTGGTTCATGGAGAGCATTATCCGTTATTATAATCACAATAAGAAACACATTTATTAGAATTATTAAGCAGTAACTTAATAAAGTGAGAAAGAAAATAGTTGGTCTGTGAACCTTTGTTTCATTTAGACCTGAAAGAAAAAACACTGAAATCACAGAAATGTTATTCATCATTGTTAGGAAAATCCTGGTCTTCAATTTAAAGGAGAACCTGCTCTCTGAGCAGATTCTGGTTCTGCTCTCTTTTTACGTCTCAATTTGATTTAGACTACAGCGTCAGTCAAGCTGGGATTTCACAGCAACCAATCACGGTCTTTCCAGCCAGTTCACTGATTTCTAGTCAACTCGCTGCTGAGAGTCCCAAGGGATATCCTCTTCAGTTTATCTCCAGAAATAACAAGAAGTTAACTTTGAAAACAAAAACATTCATGAAGAAGGAGTTGCTAAAATGTATTGACTTATTAAAACTTCATTAGGCAGAAACATGCTTTGAACAATGAAGCATTTCTTTTTTAGTGTTGTTACAAAACAAATACAATTTACAATGTTGCATTGTAAATATAATATGGGGTTATAAGCAATGCAAAAATTGCATTCTGATTTTATTTACATTTTACACAAAAATGAAATTGTAAAATTTGCTAACTTCTTAAGAAAAATAGGTTATTGTTGTGTAATACAAATATTAAATCAGGGCATCTCAAATCAAGAGTGTGTCAAAGCACTGCGGTGGTATACTACTACTTTAAAATATATCAATAATGTATACAGACAACATGAACATTCGTGGTGTTCATTCTAAGTAACAATAATGTCAAAGTATTTCTGATGAAGGACCTTTCTGTTTTTGTTTTAATGTAAAATTGTAACATATATACCTAAACCGTAAAACACTGAAAAGTGTTTTTACGATGTTCTTTGCTATGAAGACTTTGTTTCCTTGTAATAAAATTACCATTGACATTAAACTAGAGGGTCACACAGAACAGCTTCTTTTGTTTTTGTGAAACCTGGTTTAGGACAAAGGTTGTGAAAGGACATGAGTAGAAACATTTTTTCCTGAGATTATCTGAAAGTATTAAGTTATGCAACTTGTTATCCTGAGATAATTAGCATTGTTTGCTTAATATTTTTATTTACTTTTATAATAGGTTAAAATAATTGTTTTAAATTATAAAATGTGATTTTCATTTCACTACTTGAAATTATTTCAAAATATCTATCAATCAATATTACTGTTACTGTTATTACTGTTTTAGACTCATAAATCCCTAACCAGGAAAATCACTGTAAGGAAAAAGAAACATAGCTGTAATGACACTTCAACTGGTGATATATGACTTATATGTGCTGCTGATTATCCATGCTGCTGATCTCTTGCCTTTATTTTTTCTCTTTTTTCTCTCTCTGTCCTCCAGTGAAGACAGATCTTCTGCTCCGTCCCCCTGCTTCCCTGCATTGCTCTCTGTCGTCTTGTGAGCCTTCAAAGAGCCTCCTTTTCCCCCTGCATACCTTCCTAATTCGAAGGATTTTGATCAGCTGGTCTCAACAAAATTGATCAACTTCTCCCGACAGGAAATCAGGGTAAGGAGGACCCTCTTACCTCGACAGAAACAAATTGGATTCATGACAACAAGATTCTGCTGTTTGGGTTGGTGAAATCTGGATTGTCTACAAATTCGTGTGGATGTGTCTAAGCTTGGCAGCACTCAGACTGAATTATGTGGAGCTGCGTCAGAGAGCTGGAGCAGGCTGTTATCAGGACTGTGAACTTTCTGGCAGCATCCATGAACGGGGAATAATCCTGGAGAAGCTGTAAGTTCCACTTTCGGTGTGAGGAATCAATTCGGCTGTTTGGAGTCACCATCAGAGAAATGTACCAGCGAGACTTTAAAAGGCAGAAATGGCAATTTATGAGTTCTGCCTGACCCAAACTGTGCCCTTGACGGTGGGTGGACTTATCTCTATACCTCCTGGCATGTTTAGGAAAAACAAAGACGCTTTTTATCCTCACCCCTCTCTTCCCCAAGGCCGTGGGCATGTGACAGAACCTCAACTGAGCTGATGATAACAAACACCTCTTATCTGGACAATGGCTGAGGGGGGCTCTGGACTATGCTATGACCTTCCCTTAAAATTCAATGCCTTCACCGACCTATATGTATCATGTCTATTTACGTTGCTTTGCTGTGGTAGTTTTATTTTATGCCTCAAACAGTGCCCTGCCTAGGACATGGTGTGAGAGATCTTTTTTAAATGTCTTCTCTCCTCATGTTTTCTTCCTTTTTCTCATCTAAGCAAAAATATGATTCTGAATAAGAATAAGAGGGCCGCGTTAATTAGCAGCAGGTTTGTACACTCCGTACATCTTTCAAACGGCTGTACGTACATGTTCCAGTTGTATCTCGGTGCAGTGACAATAAAGCTTATTCATATGCTGATTCTGATTATCCTGTGTAAAGGAATAGCTAGTCAGAACCAACAATACACCTTTTAACAAGTGTTTACCCTAAAAGTTCAAAAGTTATATAATAAATGTGGACCGACCTCGATTAAAATAATGGTGAATTCTTAGCAATGTTGTGATCCCCCCACTTGAATTAAACACGCAAAACCTGGTTGGTTAAGCCACAAAATTCTGTAATGTTTATTTTCAGTTTAACAATAATAACAAGAGTGTGAGGTTATGGCAAATATGAAATATGAACGAATAACCAGTAATGTTATCAAAGGAGATTGAATAATATAAAGATAGCTTAAAACTTTGAGGAGAGGTGTTATCTAAATTTAGGATTTATGTTTAAAATTAAAGTACATTTATGTGAGGTTCGTGCCTAACTTAAAAGTGTCTAAAGAACTGATTGGTACTGAGTCTAAAACGGCCTTTCATCAGGAGGAAGATGCGTTTTTTTTTTTTTTTTTTTTTTTTTTTCATTTAGCCTTTATTTATACAGGTAGTCTCATTGAGCCATGAGAACTCATTTTCAAGAGAGACCTGTTTAGGGAGCAGATGGGGGTTAAGGACCTTGCTCATGGGCCCAGAGTGGGGCGAATGAGGGTGGGGGCAAGTGTGGGTGCTTCACCTACCCCACCCACATTTTTTTTAATTTTTATGTTGTCGGTACCGGGGCGTGAACCGGCGATCTTCCGATCATGGGCCCACCTTCTCTAACCTCTGTTCCACCACTCCCCCGTGGTTTGTCCTACCAGGAGATGTCCTCATTACCAGGTGGATATAATGCAAAAATGAACCTGTGGTTCACGCCGTCCTTCTTCAAGGGTGCATTCACACCAGCCCTGTTTAGTCTGCTTTAATCGAACTCTAGCTTGTTTTCCTAGAAAGTCCGGTTCGTTTGGGGAGGTGTGAACGTTCCATCGAACTTTGTCACGGAACAAAAAGGTGAACTCTGGCCCGGGCTAAAACCTAGGTCTCGGTCCGGTAGAAGAGAACTCCAGCGCAGTTCGAGTACAGTGTGAATGTAAACAGACTGAGCCCCGCTCCACAAGCAAGAAGTGGAGTACAGCACAGGACAAACAAACACGCATTTCGCTGACCTTATATGGAGCCGTCAGCTGCCTTGTGTGAAAAACAACATTCTCCGTGGTCTTCTGTCTCATCTTCTGCTTATGCTAAGTCCATTTTTGAAAAATGACAAAATATAACTCCTAAAACTGCTAAAACTTGATGCCACTCCGTTTTTGTTTTTATTTCCAGAAGAAGAAGTGTCTTCAGAGGTTTTTGTGTTGTTTCTTTCAGTAGTTCTTGGTGCAGCGCCCCCACAGGCGAGCGGGGGAATAGGTTGGTTCAACAGGTTGGCTCGACTGCACAGTGCAGTGTGAATGCAAACGCACTAGTTCAAATGTAAACAAAATGTCATGAATATTGGTCCCCAACCGAACCGAGTCTACTGGACTATCAGGTGTGAATGCACCCCAAGACCGAGTTCCATCCAGCCAAGCCATGCTTGCATCATTCCGGGTTGTTAGAGAAGTTCCATGTGGGTGGGGAGGGGAGACTTTATCTTGTCCGCCAGATGAACAATCCCAAGGACTGGCAGAAACCAAGCCCAAAGGTCGAAGACTAGACAAGACTGAATCTACTCCCATGAGTTTCAGTTTTACTTGATTCTAAAGGGTGGGGTGGGGGGTTTCTATGTAAATTGTATCCAATCGACGCAACTCTGACCAGCAAAATGGGCGTTAACTGAGTTGCATAAATTAATTTAGATTATAACTCCTCCTCTCAAAGATTAGAGGGAAAACAATGACTGCTTTGTTTACCCAGTAACATAATTTCTTCACAAATGTACATTTGGGTTTTTCACACAATACAGGTACACAACAGGTGGTCTGTTTGAAGCTCTGTCTAACTGACCAACTCCCATTGCTGGTGTGGTGGTCACACAATACTGTTTTAAGATCATTGTTCTCCAGGGGCCTTGTTAATTATCATACCATCCTGTAACCAGAGTGTTGCAAGAAATGAACATGTCTTGTGTGTGTCCTTAGTGTATGACAAAGTTCTGCATTTTGTTGAACATAGATTGTGAAGGTGTCACCTTGTCTGAGATAGGAACTGTGTTGATTAGATTGTAGAAAGTACCAGAACTTTTTCTTTGATATGGACTTTTTTGAGATGCAAAATCTATTGTTCTTAGGAAGGAGAGTTGATTACCAGCAGGAGGCAAATCTTGTAAGGAGTCATTTTGTCTGACCCAGGAAGAGGTTGATTAGCAAAGGGGGGTTAATTACAATACAGTCATGTTCAATGTCTCTGAGGACAGGATGGGGACTTCTCTGAGGGGCGTAGGACACTACACCTGCTGTTTTCATACCCAACTGCTCACTACAAAGTCATGTTCGGGCTGCTGTTTAATACAACGTATTATTTTACATTATTAGTGTTTAGCGTAGAGCCTAGATACTCATGTATTGTTTCTTTTTATACTTTATGTCTGTGCTATTTGGGGGTGTTTCTGGGACCTTGAATACACAATTTCATTCCACCTCATGTACCACATGTGATGCGAATGACAATAAAGAAACTTGAATCTTGAACCTTGTAATAGATCAACTCTGTTACATTCTGTACTCTAGTGTTTAGTTTTTGTGTTATCCTTTTGCTTGTGTGTTCATGTTTTCCAGTGTCAATACTCATTTCCCTCTCTACCAGCCTTCTCAGTATTTTTCCAGTGAGCCTGCCACCTTCACCTGTACCCAATCACTAATCACCCTAGATGTGTGTTATTAGTTCCCTATTAGTGTCACTTTAAGTACTGTGTCAGTTTGTCCATTGTCCATGCATTGTGCTTTCAAGCTATTCATGTTGGTTTCCTTTTTGAGTCTCAAGAGATTTTCATGTGTGACCATTTCATAGAGTTTTCTGTTGTGTTCGTGCTGCCTCGTCAGCTTTAGGTTTTAATTTTGCAAATAAATTAGTATTATTTTTACCATTTTTTTCTTTGATTGTTTTATGCATTTGGGTTCTGATCCTCCATCAAACATGATGCATGGACCAAAAAGAACCTAGCAGACCAAAGACCCCGTTGGAGTGCTTTTAGTTGGAAATGGAGAGAACCACCCAGAGAGAAGAAGAATGAGAAGATATCACTGTATCGAGACACTGGGTCAGCAAAAAGACCTCTCTCCCCAACGGTAGTTCTCTCTGGTAGCCGTCTGCTCCACTCTGACATACTCTAGATCTCCAATCTTCTCCTGTGAGCAGCTGGTTGTTCACAGCACCACATCCAACCCTGACTCTTCGGGTGATCGGTACTAAACCTGCGAGTTCAGGGCTATATAATAGTCATAAAATCCTCTCTGGACATAAGGACCATGATATTTGTCTGAGACCAGTTGAAACAGGTCCTGACATCCCAGCCAGAGATCCTCACTGTTCCTGAGTTCCAGGTTCTTTAGTGACAGTAAAAGAAATGCAATTTGAGTTGGAATGAGAACTGACTTGCTGGTCCTATGCTACTATACCTAAGTCCACCATGTCATTTCTCCTGAGGTCTCTGGGCAGCCAAGTGAGACTAAAGCTTCAGACATCCACTAGCGACCGAAGAAGCAGCCAAGCCCTCCTCAACCAACTTATTAGCCGAGCCTGCCTCAACAAAGGAAGCAGCCGAGCCCATTCTAGCTGAATGAGGTTCCAGTGCCTGTTGCTTCACCTGAGGTGCCCAGGTACTACACTTCAGATTCATCATGGTTCTGCTCTACACAGTATTCAGGATCCTGCTTTCCAGAGTCATCAGGGTCCCACTCTGCAGAGTCTTCAGGGTCCTCCTCTTTCTCTGTCATGTCCAGGAGGTTCTGGTTGGATGCCTCTGTGCCTCCTTCCTCTGAGGGGGGAAATGACACTACTCCTTCCCTTTTCTCAGTGGGTGTCAAGGATGACAACCCATGTCTGTGTGTCTCATTGGGTGTTGAGGATGACCACCCACCTCTGTTTGTCTCAGTGGGTGTTGACTATGACTGTCAATCTACATCTGGTCCAGCAGCAGCTATTGCCCAAAACCCCAAGATTTTGGTGAGCCCCAAGCCTCTGGTGAACCCCAAGTCTATGGTGAGCTCCAAGCCTCTGGTGAGCTCCAAGCATCTGGTGAGTTCCAAGCATCTGGTGAGCTCCAAGCCTCTGGTGAGTTCCAAGCATCTGGTGAGCTCCAAGCCTCTGGTGAACCCCAAGTCTATGGTGAAACCCAAGCCTCTGGCGAGTCCCAAGCCTCTGGTGAGCTCCAAACCTCAAGCTGTGGCAGCGTCTGAAGTTTCTGCTGCTGCAGTCTCATCAATTGCTACAGCCTTTGCAGGTTCCTCTGCTGCAGTGCCGCCAGACATGTCTGCCACTGCAACCACCTCTGGTTCATTATCTGCCGATGCAGTCATCTCTGGTTAATCATCTGCCACTGCAGTCATCTCTGGTTTATCTTCTACTGCTGCAGTCATCTCTGATTCATCGCCTGCTGCAGCCTCTGTGGTCTCATTATTTTTGACAGAGGAAGCTTCTCACTTGCCCACCTCTGATAGTGTCATAGAAGACACCTCTCAGTATCCATTCTCCAAGAGGATCCAGAAGGACACCTTTCACTCGCCGGCCTACGGGAGGCAAAAACTCTACCAACTGAGCCACCATGCTGCCCTAGTTTATTTATAATACCTTAAAGTTTTTTTAGTTTGGTTTTTGCATTTGGGTTCTGATCCTCCACCAAACATGAGCATCTCCAAGTGTCATACTGTTCATGATAAATGATGAGGCTGGGTGTTTTGAAATAAAATAAAGAAATCAATAAATAACAAAAAAAAAAAACCAATAAATCTTGTTTTTGTGTCTTCTTTAGAAAATACAGTATATTGAGACAACACAGCTTGTTTTATAGAAGTCTCAAATATAACCAAATAATATATATTAGCAGCTAAGTATGTTCTAATCTTCCATAATTTAGTGACATCAGTTTGATATCAGTGAACAAAGCTTTTAAGAATAAATGAAAACATTATTGGAGCCAAAAGTACAAATTTAGATAAAAGCTCAAACCATCATTAATTTTATGAGCAGCCCATTCTAAGTACATTCTGGTCCAAAGTCTTTCTTAAATTTACCTCATATGTTCATAAACCATGTAAACTAACATCATTGCATCTGCAAGACAGGAAATAATGTACATATCTAAAAGTGTATGTCTTCAACATTTAAAGTTATTTATTTTCAGAAGCAAATAACCTAAAAATTCTGTTTCGAACTTTGTTCAATTTGAACCCATAAATGAGTGGATTTATAATTGGAGGAAAAAAGAGATATTCTATTGTAACAAAGTTTTGAACATTCTTGGGTATATCCTGAAAATCGAGACGCATAAAAGTAATGTCAATCATTGTGGTTATAAGAAAAGTCATCACAGAGACTAAATGTGGGACACATGTTTGCATGAATTTTGCCCTGTTCTCAATGGATTTGGCACATCTTTTAACAATATATATGTATGACCAAACAATAAAGACACCATGAAGTACATAAATTATTATTACAAAATACACAACTATCCCATTTATAAAAGTTTCATTTGGAAAACAAGCCAAGGCTACGATGCTCCAGTTTGCACAGAAGAGTCGGTTTATAGATGAGCTGCATAACTTGAGCCTAGATGTTAGAAAAGTACTCACAGAAACAATGCAAAGAGGTATTAACCAAAAAATGCACATTAACTGTATGGCTCTCTGTTTTGACATGAGAGTGTGATACTTAAGTGGTTGACATATCGCCAGATATCTGTCATAAGCCATGAGAGCAAGCATCGACAGCTCACAGCAGCCAAAAGAGAAAACTACATGAGCCTGAAAAAGGCAACCTGAGTAAGAGATGACATGAACAGGAGAGAGCAGATCCCACAGAAACTTAGGATAAAAACATGCTGTTCCATAAAGACCGTTCATGCAAAAAGCACACAGCAAAGTGTACATTGGTTCATGGAGAGTATTGTCCAAGATTATAATCAAAATAAGAAACACATTTACCAGAATTATTAAGCAGTAACACATTAAAGTGAAAAAGAAAATAATTGATCTCTGATGAGCCTTTGTTTCATTTAGACCTGAAAGAAAAATCACTGAAATCACAGAAACATTAGTCATCATTGTTAGAAAACTTTAGCTCTTCCTCGAATGGAGAATCTGCTCTTTATGCAGTTTCTGCTAAGAAGGCACAACCTATTTTAGACTACGTATCAGTCAAACAGGGATTTCACAACCAATCACTGATCTTTAGGCCAATTCAGCCCCCCAGGCACAGGATATCCTTTTTGGTTTATTATGCAAACAAAGTTAAACTCGAAAATCTGACTATTGATGAAAAAATCAGAATCAAGAGATGTGATGTAAAGTGTCAATTTCATCACTATCACTGACTACATTATTTTCTGATCGATATCACATTTTGTTAGCTGTAGTCATCAAGGTAACTATTTTTTTTTTACTTCTTTAACAAAAAAATGCTTTACATATTCCAAAAAATTTTAAATAGGAAATTATTTTTGTTCCTTTTCATATTTGAGAAGCTTGAGTCAGATGCTAGGTCAGGCTTTTATTCATTCAATTTTTATTTATACAGGTTAATCCCATTGAGCCTTGGGGACTCATTTACAAGAGAGAACCTGATTTTAATAAAGAGTGAAGAAAACAGTGGACAACAAAGACAACAGTAGACAATCATAAAGGATGCATGCAAATTGAGAATAACAAGTGAAAATAAAATTGTATTAAAAAAAGTAACAAAAACACCCAGCTAAGTTGTAAGGCGATGAAGAAAACTAAAAACAAGGACATGCCTGCATTGGTTTTTCCCATGAACTTTTTACATTCAACCTTTATACAGGTTAGTCCCATTGAGCCACGAGGACTCATTTACAAGAGAGAACTTTTTTTTTTAATTTACCCTTTATTTATACAGGTAGTCTTATTGAGCCACGAGAACTAATTTTCAAGTGAGACCTGTTTTTAGGGAGCAGATGGTGGGGGTTAAGGGCCTTGCTCAGGGGCCCAGAGTGGGGCGAATGAGGGGGGAGGGAGGTGTGGGTGTTCCACCTTTTCCACCCACATTTTGATGTTGACGGTACTGGGAGTTGAACCTGCAACTTTCCGATCACAGGCCCATCTTCCTAAGAGCACACGCTGTAGCTGCACTCATGTAGTGACATGTAGCAGGAGATATATAAAGGCAACAGACCAAGAAGTGATTTAAAGATGAAAATGTACCAGTGAGAGAGTCTGTGTGAACCAGTGAATACAGGGTGCAATGGTTGGTACAAAAGTTAGTCAGTTATGAATCTTAGCACACCATGATTGGCAGCGTCCAACATCTGCAGGGTGCTTGTTGGGGCGTTCATGTAAATAATGTCACCGTAGTCAATGGAGGGAAGGAAAGTCACAGTTACAAGGTGTTTCTTAGCATTCAGAGTTAGACAGGTTCTATTTCTGACAAAGAAACCCAGTTTAACTTTCAGTTTCCTTACCAAGTTTTCCATGCGGAGCTTAAAAGAGAGATGTGAGTCAACCAAGATACCCAAATATTTGTAGGAATCGACAAACTCCATAGGGGCACCATTCAAGGATAAAATCAAAGGAAGAACTGCTAGGATAGACTTTCTGTTTGAAAACAGCATCCCTTTGGTTTTGTTGGCATTTAGTACAAGTTTGAGATGGAACAAATCTGACTGGATGATTGCAAAAGCTGGAAAACCTTAGCAACTGTTTTAGCTCAACAATAAACTACTGTGTCATCAGCATAGACATGTAAGGATGCATCAGGGATGCTCTGACCTACAGTACTTATGTAGATTGTAAAGAGGGTGGGTCCTAAGGCTGAGCCTTGTGGTACACCATTGATGACTGTTAAATAACTGGAGGAAGTACCATTATGTTGAAAACATTGCCTCCAGTCTGAGAGATAGTTAGTGAACCAACCAATGGTGTGATCGGAGAAACCAATTTCTGAGCGCTTATGACACAAGATGTCATGATCCACAGTGTCAAAAGCTTTAGACAGGTCTAAGAAAAGTGCAGCACAATAATCCTTAGCATCCAATGCATCAACAACGTCATTAAGATCTTTCAGCAAAGCAGTCATTGTGCTGTGTTGTTTCCTGAAACCAGATTTATGGGGAGGTAAGATGTTAAATGAATCCAGATACTTTTTGATTTGAGCGTTTATCAGTTTTTCTAGAACCCTGGCTAAAATACAGAGTTTAGAGATTGGTCGATAGTTTTTTGCCCTTCACAGAAAGGCAACAACAGATGTTAAAGCTTTTGCCTGTGTGTGTGTGTGTGTTCATGTATCTGTTGTTTTATTGTTATTAAATGTTCCTGGTAAACACCATTTTTGTTAAATGAGTATTTAAATGTGTGAGGCCAGCTTTTGCTGACACTGTCACTGCAGCTATGTTTGATATTCCAAAATTAGTACAAAGAAAATCTGATTATGTTAATCCCCTTGTCCACAAAGACCAGTCCTCCCATTTTGCAGATAATCTCAGATTCCATCTAAGCAAGTTTGGCCACAAAATTAAGGCTATTAACTTTTAAGACCAAAAAAGGAAATAGAATGAATGCAACAACAGGGAGAGTCATGTTGACACAAAGCCTTATGTGTGTCAAAACACAAAATATTTAATGGAAGTTGGACTTTAACATATTTCTTTGTGGTAACTGATATTGATAATAAATATAAATCTCATTTGATGAACCATTTTTTTTTATTGTATAATCATACGAAAAACAATTTCCATAAGACACAATTCAGATTTTATTATAAGAACAAGAAACACTGAAGTCAAAGCCGGTAAGATGTTCACAGACTGTGCAAACAAATCACCACTTTATATACTCTGAGCACTGATCTCACCTGTTGTGAGAAGTCTTAATTATGGAAACATTTCATGCCTATTGTTGTTACTTTCATATATTTAAATGAGCTTGATGTTTATTACTTTGTATATAAAATCTGATAATGAGGCGTTACTGGTGTTGTAGCTCCCTTTGGTGGTGGGTAACGTGCATTGTTACACTCAACAGAAGCTTTCAATTCTTAAAATAAAAGCATAAATAAAAACTCTTTATTGTGGAAACTGTTAAAGCTAACAATTTTGGTAAAGATAGAGAATCAGAGAAAGGATAAAAAAAGAACAATAGAAGTATGGGTATGAAGGGTGCTGCAGCACCCCCTGATGTATGCAAAAGTAGATGCATGTTCCAATTCATAAACATACAAACCGTCATTGTCTGAATGTCTGTGTGTAATATTCTACAACTACTTACAATCTTCAAAAATGGACAAATCAGCATTAGCTCATGATTGTAATTCCATTAATTTTGTTAGCTTAAAATATACAGTATGAATCCAGGTGAATCTTTATTTTGGTTTTCCTGAGTAAACACTATTAATTGGTTAATTGTAAAATTATTCATGTGAGTTTGTAGTTGTACATATTATAGCTGAATGCACTAAACAATCTTTCTGTTCACCTGATCATGTTTTTTGAAATGATGAAATTGACCACACTTACTCAGTCTGCTGCTGTCTTTACTAACATGATGTTTGGTTGTAATGACCTAAAGATAGAAGACTGAAAAAGGACTCAAATGTAGAAAAGGTAAGTGACTAGTGTCTTTATTTACAAGGGATGATGGGAAATGTTGCTGAAAAGCAAAAAAGGTAGAGGTGAGTATTGGCAGGGTTTGAGGAGCAATGATTTGTAATATCGCTCTGTTGTAAAAGTCTTAACAGGGCTTAATTTGTAAACCAATTGATGCCAGAAACCAATTGATGCCAGAACACAAATGGTGGGCAGGCCGACAGGGGTATGAGGGGGAGGAGTCTCGGGGTTCTCCCCAGAAAAGTTTGATTAAATTAGATGCAATTTCCAGCATTTTGGTGTATTTTAACAGGTTGTTTAACATCTACATTTACCTGTATTTGTACCCCCCCCCCCCCCCCACACTTGACGGTTCAGAGCCAACTCTTCTCCTCTGAATTCACTGTCTGACTCCACATGTGAAACGTCCAGGCACTTACCCCCACCACTCTTTTAGGGGCGGAGATTTTTTTAAGAGTAGAGGTGGAAATACTTCACTTGAAGGGGCAGATGCTCGTATGGGATATTAAGAAGTCGTGTTGTGTTGTCTGTTATGTTTAAAATGGTTATGTAATTATTTTCAGCTTAGTTATCCAATATAAGTTTTATTTGTTCAAGGCAGTCATATTTGTTCATAACTTTATTATTAATAAGCCTGAGAGTTGACGGAACCGAGCAAATAGGTGCCAGAACGCACCCTGTCAAAATAAGAGAGTTCCTGGATGCTATTCCAGCAGGATCCGACTCAAATTAAGCCCTATTCTAGGTTAGGTTGGTCCACCCTAAAGACAAAACACCCATACACAAACAAAGTGGTGTAGTGTATGTGGTCCAGTACAGCGAGGACTGTCCAGACTTTTACAATGGGGAAACTAAACAGCCTCTTCACAGATGCATGGCTCAACACAGGAGAGCCAGCCTCACAGGACAAGATTCAGCTGTTCACATCCACCTCACAGATTCACAAATAAGGGACACTCTTTTGAGGACCAAAATGTGCATAGTTTGGACCGAGAACACAAATGGTTTGAGAGGGGGGTGAAGGAAGCAATTTATGTAAAAAGAAAAAAGCCGTCTCTTAACAGAGGAGGAGGTCTCAGATTTCCACTTTCAAAAACATTTAATGCAACTTTAAGACAGATTCCCAGCCAGTTTTCACACCTGATGGGAACAGAGGGGTCTCATCGGTGAATTAGAGTAACAAAGACCTTAAGAAACCCCTACTGTTAAGGTGTTTAGTTGTGAATTGCCAATCTACATATGTGTGCGTGTCTTATCTCACTCAGCCTTATAACCTGAATCTCTCACTCACTGCTCTTTGAATTGAGAAAGCTCCTCGGATGAGGAGCGAAACGTCTTCTGTTACAAATAAAGTCCAGTTGTTTTTGTATTGAACGCATTTTTGAATTCATCATGTCCTGGATGACTGATAATCTTCACCAGCACTAGTCTTACTTAGTTTGTTTGTTTGCAGGCTGTGAGAGAGGAAATCCAGGGGTTCCTATGAGC